TCAAAAAAGACAAATTAAAACATCGAAAAGTTGAAAAAAAATTGAGAAATCGAAGTATAAAACTGTCGAAAATTTGAAAAATCCAAAGTCTGACGAAAAATTGAAAATCCAAAAAGTAAAAAAGGGGTGGAAACCCAAAAACTCCAAACTGAAAAATTTTAAAGTTGGAAAATCGACGAATTGAAATCGATTGGCCTGAAAATTTGAAAAATTGAATAAACGAAAAATTGGAAAATCGAAAGAAACGACAAAAATTAAGGAAATGAAAAAACAAAAAATTGTGATATAAAATCGAGAAAATGAAAAATAAAAAATCAGGAAAATGAAAAATAAAAATCGGGGAGAACGAAAAATTTAGGGGACGAAAAATTGAAAAAGGGAAAAATTAAAAATCGAAAATGTGAAAAATGGAAAAATGAGAAATTGTAATATTGAAAAATTGGAAAATTTAGAAGTCGACAAACTGTAAAATTGAAAAATCAAAAATAAAAAAACGAAAAAGTGTAAGTATAATAAAAACTTGAAAAATGTACACAAGTGAAAATCAATCTTTAAAATTTGAAAAAAATTAAAAAAACCTGAAAATTTGAAAAATTGAATAAACGAAAAATTGTAAAATGAAAAACTGTAATATTGAAAAATTGCCAAATTGAAAAACTGATGCAAACCGAAAAATTGAACGAAAGAAAAATTACAAAATGAAAACTTGAAAAATCTTAAGAATCGAAAAAGAAATATGTATTATGAAATAGAAATATTGAAAATGAAAGAAATTGGAAAATCGGAAGACTGGAATTCCAAAAACTGCAAAGTGAAAAATTTAAAAATTGAAAACTGGAACAACTGAAAATTCAAAGACTGAAAATTTGAAAAATTGAAAAAATGAAAAATTGTAAAATCGAAAAAAAAATACAGAAAATAAAGAAAATGAAAAAACGGACAATTGTGATATAAATTGAGAAAATAAAAATGAAAAATTCTCACATTGAAAAATAAAAATCGAGAACATGAAAAATTGTGGAAACGAAAAGTTGAGAAACTGAAAATTCGAAAAATTGACGAAACGAAAAACTGAAAAAACAAAGAAACAACAAGAAACAAAGGAATTGAAAAAATGAAAATTTGTGACATAAAACCGAGAAAATGAAAAATAAAAATCGAGAACTTGAAAAATTGTGGAAACGAAAAATGGAAATAAAGGAATTGAAAAAATAAAAATTTGTGATATAAAATCGAGAAAATGAAAAATAAAAAATCAATAAAATGCAAAATAAAAATCGGGGAGAGCGAAAAATTTAGGGGACGAAAAATTGAAAAAGGGAAAAATTAAAAAATGAAAATGTGAAAAATGGAAAAATGAGAAATTGCAAATCGAAAAATTGAAAAATTTAGAAGTCAAGAAACTGTAAAATTGAAAAGTCAAAAATAAAAAACAAAAACGTGTATAATAAAAACTTGAAAAATGTAAAAAGTGAAAATCAAACTTGAAAATTTGCAGAAAAATTGAAAAAACGTAAAATTTTGAAAAATTGCATAAACGAAAAATTGTAAAATCGAAAGAAACAACAAAAAATAAAAGAAATGAAAAAAAGGAAAATTGTGATATAAAATCGAAAAAGCGAAAAATCAAAAAAAAGAAATATGTATTATGAAATAGAAATATTGAAAATTAAAGAAATTGGAAAATCGGAAGACTGGAAATCCAAAAACTGCAAAGTGAAAAATTTAAAAATTGAAAACTGAACGAACTAAAAATTCAAAGCCTGAAAATTTGAAAAATTGAACAAATGAAAAATTGTAAAATCGAAAAAAAAAACCACACAAAATCAAGAAAATGAAAAAACGAACAATTGTGATATAAATCGAGAAAATAAAAATTAAAAATTCCCACATTGAAAAATAAAAATCGAGAACATGAAGAATTGTGGAAACGAAAAATTGAGAAACTGAAAATTCGAAAAATTGACGAAACGAAAAATTGAAAATGACAAAAATTAAAAACTAAGAATGTGAAAAATCGAAAAATGAGAAACTGTAATATCGAAAAATTGCAAAATTAAAAAATTGCAACTCGAAACATTGAAAAATTTAGAAGTCAAGAAACTCTAAAATTGAAAAATCAAAAATAAAAAAAACGAAATAGTATATAATGAAAACTTGAAAAAAGTCACAAGTGAAAATCAAACATGAAAATTTAAAGAAACGAAAATTTGAAAAATCGAAAGATTAAAAATTGAAAAACTTAAAATTCAAAAAAGTGAAAAATAAAAAAAAAAGAAATATGTATAGTAAAATCAAAATATTGAAAATTAATGAAATTGAAAAATTGGAAGACTGGCAATCCAAAAATTGCAAATTGAAAAATTTTAAACGTGGAAAATCATGGAATTGAAAATCAAAGCCTGAAAAATTGAATAAATAAAAAATTGTAAATTGAAATAAACAACAAAAAAATGAATGTGTTGGCGAATTTGCTGAATTGAAAACGGGGTAAGTACGATGTGAGTATTGATTTATCGGAGTCTGTAATTAGTATTTTGACAAATCTCTAAACTCTTGGTAAATTTTGGAAGACGAATATTTAAACGGAATTCATCGTTAAACCGAAAATCGTTTTCCTACAAACATGAAGTTATTAAAAACAATTCATTGTTAAATGCACTGCCCGGTTAAAACATCAAAATACCATATTAAATATCAAGATCGGTAGTACTAAACGTTCGTAATGCTTATGATGTTTTTTTATAGCATTTAAGTACCTAATACAGATTCATAGAGAGATAAATATGGATATCTGTGTAAGTTTCCATATACATATTAAATACGTTGCTTTAGCAATTTCTAAATGACTGCAGCCATTATAGTTTTTTGTAAAATTTTGGAATTAACATTTAATTAAAACTAATGAAAATGCGTGAATTTAGTGAATGTGAAAGCGAAATCGAAAAAACTTAGAATGTTCGACTCTCATTCCGGCCAAATCGAGAGATCGCTGCAAAAACACATCAAACTTTCAAAGACTGGTGAAAAAAAAAGTCTTTACGGTGACAAAAATGAAGAATTTTTAATTTTGTAATCAAGAAGACACTGATGACGCACGAGTTTCCAGACAATGCTAACATCTTGTCTTCAACGTCTGTTTTCCAAAATAAGCTTCCTCTGGCAGTTAGCAGTTGTAATAATTGTATCTTCACCATTTATCTCCAGAAATAAGTTATAATACCTATTTGTTACTTAATTATTGTAATAATTAGAGAGCGGATTTATAAGCACAAAAAAAAAATAAGAATAAGCGCTTAAATAAGCACATTTTCAATAAAAAAGTTTTATTTTAAGCAAAAAAGCATTAAAAACATAATCATATTACAAATCAAAGAACACTTTTTAGAACTTTGGATAAAATATTATTACAATAATCCTAGACTTTATATTTTACACACGTATTTCAGTTTTCTTTAAAACAATTTATGATTGTAATATGTTCCAAGTTGTCCACTGTAAAATTTTTTCGCTGATCATTTAAAATGTGTTTAAAATTGGAGAATGTGCGTTCAACATCACACTCGTTGTTCGTGCAAATTTGAATTTTGCAACTAATGTTGAATCTAACTCCAAATTTTCCACCTTCTGGCCTTGTAAAACACGAGCAACGTCGGAAAGAACACCGAAACCTGCATTTTTATTTAACACTTCGTCAAGTTTTTGAGATCCTCTAGTACCAATTTCACCCCTTACTGCGTTTGCTTGTTGTTTAAATTCTTTCACTAAGTTTATGGCATCTACCAACAACATGTTGGGTTTTTCTAACTTTTCTATTACCTCACATACGAATTGATAATTGCTTCTTAGAAAAGCTAGATCTTGTCGCAAATCTTTGTTTTCCAAAATATTTATGCAATCTTTAATCGATTGAGAAGAATCTTCGCTAAACTCCGTAACTACTTCCTCAAATTCTTCGATATATTTGTCATAATAAAATGTGGCCTGTAACCATGTTCCCCACCTCGTTATAATCGGCTCTGGGGGCAATGGTATGTTTGGAAATTTTTCCTTAAAATGTTGCACTCTTAGTAGGGCTTTAACAAAAATCTTTTTACCATTTGCCACTAATTTATTAACAGTAGGAAACTGCAAACGTATTCCTTCAGCCACTCTGTTTAAACCGTGGGCAATGCAAGTAGAGTGAATTAAATTGGGGTACAATATTTTTAGATTATTCCCTGCTTTCAACATATAACGAGCTGCATCCGAGATCATTAATAAAATTTTATTGGCAAAAATAGTGACGTAAGACTGTCATTTACAAATCTGGTAATCGTATTGCCATTTGTTTTATCTAACATTTTCAAACTTACTACATATCCTCGACTAGGGAAATTTTCATTTAAGATTCCAACAATTAAACTTGCCACGTATCTTCCACAATTATCGGTTCTTTCATCGACAGCGAACCATAAATAATTATCTCCAATGCGATGTTTAATTTCGTTGTAAACTTGCTGAAACACTGGACCTACATAATTTTTTCGGAGAGTACTTTCAACCGGAATATGTCGATTGCAGTGTTTTTCAAGGAATTCTTGAAGAGGGCCTTTCTCCAATTTTTTTAAAGGTATATTGGACTGGATCATCATTTTACATAAATCGAAATTAAACTGAAACTGCTCATCTTTTGTGGAAGTAGATGCAACAGATTCATGTATGGTCTGCTGTTTAATTTTAGAAACTTCAAACATTTTCTTCCTTTCTACATGAAGAGTCGTTCTGACATGTTGCGTCACGTTATATTTTTTATCACTTTAAATCTAAAACAACGTACATATACAGGATTAACAAAAGATTCCCAATTGAGCCGGCAAAGCGAACGGACGTGTGCGTAGAAGTTCGTGTGCGAAAATTCATACCAGTGACAATACAGGCAATATTAAAAGGAATAACCTTCGAAGAGACGATCTGGGTTATATCCTTCCGCCGTGAAGGAAGTCAAAGACAAAGAGGTAATGAGTAGTAAAGGGACAGAAAGAAAGAAAAGGGATAGAGAAGTAGAGTCGCCGAAAGAGAACGAGCAGGTCTTCCAAAGAAGCAAAATAACAGTAAGAGCACCTCTGCAATCGAGAGAGAAGGAAAATCAAGAAGATATAGAGATGGAGGAGGTCAAGAAGATGATCAGCGAACTTGCGACACAAATTAGAGATGATATAAGAGATAGTAACAAACAATTATTGAACGAATGGAATACACAGCTTAAAGAGGAGCTTAAAACAATAAGAGAAGAATTAAAGCAAACAAGAGATCAACTACAGGGACAAAATCAAGAAATTAGAGATAAGTATAAAGAATGGAAGAGAGCTAAGGAAGAAATGGGAAAGAGAGTGGGTGAAGTAGAAAGTCAACTAGATCGAATGGAGAGAGAAAAGAGAAGAAATAAAGTAGTGATGATGGGATTGGACATAGCAACAGGAGAGCAGAAGCAGATAATTGGAAAAGTGACAAAATTTTTAGAAAAGAAAGTCAAAGTAGAGAGTAAAGTTAAAAGCGCGTACAAAATTGCAGAGAAAGTTTATGTAGTGGAATTCGAAAACAGAGAAGAAAAAATAAATGTAATGAAAAGCAAGAAGAACTTAAAAGGGTCGTCAATTTACATAAATGATGATCTCACGAAAACGGAAAGAAAAATTCAAAACAAGATAAAAGAAGAGGCAACAAAAGAGAGAAATAAAGGAAAAATGGTTAGAATGGGATATAAAAAGTTAACTATAGACGGCAGAAATTTTAAATGAAATGAAGAAGAGGGCAGACTTAAGAAGGCAGAAAATTTTTAGTAAAGAGCCAAAAGAGAAGGAAGAAAACGAGGAAAACGGGAAGCAAACAAGGCAAAGGAAAAGGAAAAGGAATAAAGGATATAGATAGGGAAATCGGAAAAAGGGAAGCTGGTACAAAATTAGGAGAAAAAGGGGTGAAGGTACTGTTTTGGAATGTCCAAGGGTTGCGAAAAAAGGAAAAGGAGTTCTGGGACTACGTGGGAAAATTTGATGTTGTGGGGCTAGTAGAGACTTGGGTGCAAAGAGAAAACTGGGAGAAATTGGAAGAGACACTACCACAAGAATATGTGTGGGAGTGTCAAGGGGCGACAAAGGAAAAGAAAAAGGGGAGAGCAAGCGGGGGAATAGTAATGGGAATTCGAAAATAAATGCAAGAATTGGAAAAGGGAAGTAATAATAAAAAAGGACTAATGAAGAAAGTAATACAGTTGGATAACAATCGATGGGAAATAATAACCGTTTATAGCAAGAAAATGGAGGAAACCAAGATAAACATAGAAATGGAAACAAAAGAAAAAGGCGATGAAAAAATACTTATAGGAGGGGATTTTAACGCAAGATTGGGCGATAAGGGGACAAGAATAATAGATAAAGAAAAGGGAGAGAAAAGAGGATCAAAAGATAAAGCAAATAACAAAGAAGGGAAAATATTGTGGCAGATAATAGAAGAAATGGGATGGGAAATTTTGAATGGAAACAAGGAAGGAGATGAAGAAGGAGAATGGACGTACGTAGGGACGAGGGGAGAATCAATTATAGATTATGGGATTGTCAACGAAGAGGCGTGGGAAGAAATAGAGAGTTTCAAAGTGGGGAAAGGGTAGAATCAGACCACATGCCGCTAGAAATAAAAATCAAAGGAAAAGAGCAAGAGTACGAAAAACAAGAGAGAAGACACGAAAGAAAAGAATTAGAAAAAAGAATATGGGATGAAGAGGGAATTCAAAGATACATAAGTAGACTAGAAGAAAAGAAATTCGAAGTAAAAGAAGATATAGAAGCTATGATGGTGGAACTGAGCAACCTAATTGTAGAAGCTACGGAAAAAAGAAAGATATACATATGGCAAGGGAGGGATAATGGATGGAACGGAGAATGTAGTGAGTTGAAGAGAAAAGCAAGGAAAAAATTAAGAAAATGGAAGAATAACAAGGGAAGGGAAGAAGAGTACCTAAAAGCAAGAGAGAATTATAGGAGAAAATGGGAAGAAAGAAAAAGAGAAAAACGAGAAGAAGAAGAGAAGACAATAAAGTCCCTGAAAACAGAAGAGCAAGTATGGAGATATATAAACAAGGAACGGAGAAGGAAGACTGAAATCAGCGGGAAAATCAAAATACATGAATAGAAAACACACTTTATGGAATTATTGGGAGGTTGTGAGGAAAAATGCTGCAAAATAAATAAAGGAATCACAACGACGGAAGAAATGTGGAGAGGTTCGGAAATAACAAAAGATGAAATAGAAAGACAGATTGGAAGACTGAAAAGAGGAAAGGCACTAGGAGGGGATGGAATCCAGAACGAAGCGTGGATGTTCGGGACAGAAGAAGTGAAAGAAAAGATATGGGAAGTGGTAAATGGAGTTTGGAAGGGAAAAGGGTTTCCTCGGCAGTGGAGAGAAGGTATAATAATCCCATTATTTAAAAAGGGACAAAAAAGTGATGTGAAGAACTACCGAGGGATTACCTTGCTCAATACGGCGTACAAGATATATGCAATGATACTTGATGAGAGGTTACGAAAGGAGATGGAAGCAAGGGGTATGTTACCAGACGGTCAGGCAGGGTTTAGGAAAGGAAGAGGTACTATAGACAATGTGTACATCCTGCGGCATTTAGTGGGGAGAGAAATAAGGAAAGAAGGTGGACGAATGTACGCATTGTTCATAGATTTCAAAGCAGCGTTTGATAGCGTGAATAGAGAGAAAATGTGGGAGTATTTGAGGAGAAAGGGAGTAGATGCATACTTGGTAACGAAAATGGAAGAAATATATGAAGAAACAGTAAATACGGTGAGAGTGAATGGAATAGAGAGTGAGAGTTTTTATACAAATAGAGGAGTGAGACAAGGATGCCCACTCAGCCCCGCATTGTTTGCAGCTCATCTAGAAGATATAGATGAAATGTTCAGAAAAGCACAGACAGGAGGGGTGGTAGTCGGCAAAGAGAAAGTGTGGTCGTTGGCGTACGCAGATGATTTGGTGATTGTGGCAAAGAAAAGAGAAGTAATGAGAGCAAGGATTAAAAGTTTGGAGATGTATGTAAAAAAAAAAAAGAAATTGGAAGTGAATGTGGAAAAAACAAAAATGGTGGTGTTTGGGAAGAAAGTAAGAAAGGAGAAGGAAGAGTGGGCATGGAGTGGGAAGAAGATTGAACAGGTGAAAGAATTCCAGTACTTAGGATATACATTAAAGAGCAATAACTCAGATAGAGCGCATATTCAAGAAATGGTCCAAAAAGCGAACAAAGTGGTAGGAATAGTATGGGGAATAGGAGAGAAAATTTGGACATGATTATAAGAGAAGAATAATGATGTTTGATAGTTTGGTCAAAAGTGTATTCATGTACGGAGCTGAGATTTGGGGATGGAGGGAATATGAAGAAATAGAGAGAGTGCAAGAAAAATACTTGAAATGGACATTGGGATTGGAAACGTATACGCCGGGGTATATAGTGAGAAAAGAAACAAAAAGGGAGAAAATGAGAGTGGAAGTGGGTAAAAGGGCGGTTGGATTTGAAGAGAAGTTCAGTGAGAGAGGTGATTGCAAGATATTGCAAGAATGTTGGAAAGAAATAAGAAAGGAAGGGGGAAAACATGTTTGGAACGAAAGGGACAAGTATTATGAAGGAAAGGGATATGCATGTGAAGAAATAGAGAGAATGAGAGAAATGGGAAGGAGTGTGAAAGAAGAACTGAGTGTAAGAGATAAGGATATAGATAAGCAAGAACGTAGATCGAGAATATCGGAGTCTAGATATAATGCAGACTATAGAAAAATAGTAAAGGATGAAGTACCAAAGTACACAGAGAGAGAAAGTATAAAAGAGAAAAGAATGATGGCGAGATTTAGGTGTGGAAATGAAGAGAAAGAGAATAATTTTTGGATGGATGAAACTGACAGAAGGTGTAGGATATGTTGGAGAGAGGGAGAAACAATAGAGCATATGCTGGAAGGATGTGAAGGATTGAGAGAATCGGAGGAAAGTAGGGAAGAAGTGCTAAACGAGGATGGAAGAGGACTGGACTGGATGAAAGAAGTATGGAAGATAAGGGAACTATGGCAAGGGGTGGGCAAGCAGAAAGAATAGAATATTTATTATATAACACTCGAATTTTTATTTTATTTTATTTATTTTATTGTTATGGATTTATATGAGGTAGATTAAGTTAATTTGTACCCCTACTGGGAATATTATTAAGCCTGTAAGGCAAATAATAAATTAATACCACTACAGAATTAACAAAGGAAAATAGATAAAAAAAAATTAGTGGGCTTACGGTTTTCACACAAGCTCTGCAGAATATTTTGTTGTTTTCTAATTTCGGCATTCTTTTAAAATATGTATTAGTAATATTACCTAAAAGAACTCAACATGTAACAAGGGAGAACCACGTATAACACTGTACTACGACAGATGGGATAGACTGATGGTTGTGAAATAAACGGTTCATTTACTTAAAAGTTTCCATTAGAAAAATTTTAAGGTAGGTAGTTGGGTACAATAATCCTTTTTTCTAGAAAATCTTCAACGGTCTTGCCGCAAAATGGCGAAAGAGAACATCTGGTTAAAAGCTTTAATTCATTATCAACGGAAGTAAGGATTTAAAGTCATAAAATCTATGGAGTATTTTTCCAATCCTATAATAAAATTTTATTACCCAAACGACCGGAATCTATTCACAGAAAGGGTCTTGAGTAAGTGTACTTCAATGGTCAAGTCCAGGTAAAATGCATACGATACGATACGGCTAACTAACAAGTATTTGTCATCCCGACAGGGCCGGCATTTGAACAAAATATGCATTCAAACTCATATTCGTCGAAAAAAGCATTAAATAAGCATATCAGTTTTAATATGCATAAAATTGAAACAAAAGCAAATAAGCATAAAAAAATGTGTCAAATGACTCCAAATTGTATCATAGTTACAGATATAAAAAAGTTTTGAAGTGCTTACATTTTTCACAAAAAGCATTAAACCTAGAAATCCGCTCTCTAGTAATAATTGATTAATTTTGAATAAAATTACTTACCGTTCTAGAACAAAATCAATCTTATTTTAACAAATACGTGTCTTTGCAAAAATGATAAGGTCATCACAAAATTCTGTAAAAAAACTCAACTCGAAAATGCTGGATATGTTTCATTGTACATTTTTTATGTTTAGTTTCATTAGGTTAAGTTTATTTTTATGTTATTAGAAAGTTGTTGGTCAATTCTCTCAACTCTTTCGTGCTGCTTTAAAAAAATCGGGACGGCAGACGGAAATGGGGGAAGTAATAACGATCAGTAATGAGTTCTAGACAAATTAAATTAGCTCTATGCTCTCTATTTTCACAATTGTTGAGGTAAAACTGCCAACGCCATTGTTTTTAACTCTTTGGTGTCGTCGACATGAAACGGACTGTGTTAAAACCTGTCGCCAAATACGACACATTACAACAGTGTATGGTAGTTGAGGAGCCAAATAAAACGAAATATTTAAAGACATGTATTGTACTTAAAAATTCAAACAAAAATGTATTATAATACAGGGTTCAGTTATTTCGTCTGCTTCGAGTGACGTAGTCGCACGTTTGGGGAGACCTAAAATTGTTTAAAATCAAGCATAATCTTAAAATTTGATCAAAATAACGTTCACTAACAATTTTTATGTTTAGTTTCCTACCTATATTTAATCGGCCGCGGGCTTGAAGCTCGACGCCGACGTTTCGAATTTACAGCTTTGCGAGATTCTTTGTTCAGAACGTCTTGGCTCATGGGACTAAGAAAAATTTTTACCTGCAGCAGGCACAAAATTGCGAATTTTTAAAGCGACATTTTAAACGACGTAAATATACCTCGTGGAAATTTCCAGATAGAACGGTCGAATGTGCTGGTGACTGTGACGTTGAAGCATTAGAAACCTCCCCCAGCGTCGAAAGTCTAGATTTAATGAATATGAAATAATTTTTTCAGCTCTAGTTTCACTACTTACTGGTTTTCAGTGTTAAAATCTTGTGAGGGATCAGGTTCAGCTTCTAAACAAAAAACACATTTTTTTAATAATAATAATAATAATAATAAGCGTGTTTAGTAATAAAAATAAATAAGCAAAAATTTGCGTCACTGACATATTCCTTACCAGTGACGTCATTTGAAGTATCAACCAGTGTATCACTCTCCTAAAACATTGCATAAAGTACACAATCCTAATTCAACTACATGTAAACTATATACCGAAGAATTTGTTTCATCTTTTTTTGAATTACTCCGCAATGATGACTGTAAATGCAAATCAGAAACACGTGTAAGGTTAATGGTTGGAATATGTAGCACAGTTCCATTTACCATGTGCGGCTTTACAACATGAGCTTTATTGTTAAATCTAAGTGAGTTTTCTTCAAGTGATTTTTTATTACTCTGTGAACGACGTCGCAGAACTTCTGCAACAAAAATGAGACAATAGTTAAGCATTTTTCGCTTGAAAAAACGCACCAGGTGTCACAGCTGTCGCTACTCTTGCTTCTGCTTGTTCAATGCCGCATTCTTCTAAAATACTGCACACATTTTGTGAGGCTTCTGATAGCTTATCAGCGTTCTTCCGAGTCACAGTTTTGACGTTACACAAGATGTTCTCAATTTGCTAAAATTATGAATTTAGTAACTGCTTAGTAGCTCGTAGAAGACTTACGTTGCATTTAAGAGCGTACTCGAAATTTTCCATTTTGAGATAGTTAATGGTCTCTTGAAGTTTTTCATTCTCTTTTTTCAGTTCGATTATTTGTTTGATTTCATTTCGATTCGAAGTCGCCATTTTTGCAATATTTAAATAACGCTGATAATTCTAGTAAACTTAATCCATTCCTCTTTACTTATAAATAAATTTAAAACTTATTGTTAATTCTAACTTTACTCATCAAAAATAAACACAGAAATACACTGTAAACGTCAGTTTAACAATGTCGCCACCGCAACCACTCCGATTCCCCTAGAAGATTGATTTCAAAGTGGCAACTCCTCGACTTATGTTGGCAGCAGTGTTTGTTTCTAACTAGGAATAAAATTAACTACAATAAAAAAAGTGTTATAATATTTTTAACGAATTGACACTAGATTTACCAGAATATCACAAGCTGCTTACTGTTTCATTCACTTTAATTCAGGTCACCCGAATTACGGTTCGTTGTCTGAGAACTTGTTTGATCTACAGACCAGAGCGAACTCAGGCCAGTGTCGACTCTATAATCCATGATCTGATACACATCCTAACCGGTTTCGGCCTAATTTCTTGTGTTTCAACTTTCGAATTCTCAGTTTTTCGAAATTTTACTTGGGGGACTTTTCAATTTCTCGGTTTTCAGTTTTTCTCTTCAATTTTACGATTTTTAAATATTTCGATTTTTCAATTTTTGACTTTTATAAACTCTTTATTTGTCGATTTTTCAGTTCATTGATTTTTCGGGTTTTTCGGTCTTTTCAATTTTTCTATTTTTTCAGGTTTCGATTTTTTAACTTCATTTTTTTGATTTTTAGATTTCTCAATTTTTCGGTTCTTTAGGTTCTCAGTTTTTGGATATTTCAGTTTTGGGACTTTTCAGTTTTTCGATTCGTCAGTTTTTCTTTCATTTTTTACTTCCCGAGCGTAAGCAAAGGAAGTATTGTAATCGAGTCCGTCGGCCGAGTCTCTACTTTTACGTTTTCTCGATCTTTCATGACCCCTAGAAGACGAAGAAATAGGTCTCCCATTTCCGTCTGTCTGTCCGTCTGTCCGTCTGTTGTCCCGGATTTTTATTAGACAGATAATCTCCGAAAGTACTCGACCGATTGTTGTGAAATTTTGTACTTACATTAAGAATATCTTGTAGATGGTAAAACGCTAACCAAAATTTGTCTAATCATCCCCACCACTAATGCGTCACTTCAAAATTGTACATAGTAAATGGGTTTTCCATTGTATAAAATAACATAGTCCTACACATGTAGTTTACAACTCTGAATCGACTTTTCACCCGAAACGTCCAAATTTTTGGAAAAAAAAAATCAAAATTATAAAACAACATTTTGAAATTTAATTTTTAATCTGCTAACCAGAATGCTTTGAAATGTTGCAGATGTTTTAAGGCTATAAAGAGCATCATAAATCTTTAGTCAAAAAATATTTGCTTATCCCCTCCAAAAACTTGATGACGTCAGCTCAACAGTTTGTGGAATAAATCATATCTAAAATGTACAAAATATGATGAGTCTGTACTTGTGATCTATCACTCCATTCATATTTTTTGGATTTGCATATACAGGGTGATTCAAAAAAATTAATGAAAGCGTAAATTTATTTTACTGATTTACTCAGAAACTACAAAACCGAATGCTTTGAAATCTTGCAGATGTTTTAAGGTTTAAAAGAGCATAACAAATGTTTAGTCAAAATATATTTGCTTATCCCCTCCAAAACACTAACATTGCTGATTTAGTGATGACGCTTATCAAAGAAACGACTCCTATTAAAATGAAGGAAAAATTTGTTAACAACTTGTCTTCACATTTGTCCTTATAAATAATAAATTAAATGTAATACATTTTTGTTTCCTTAAGAATACAAAGTTAACAAAGTTAGTTGAGTTACAAAAGTCTCTTTTGCTCCACGTTGGCCACCAACGAGCGATTTTCAAGATTTTTGTGAAACTTTGCTGGTTTTGAATTTGAATTTTCTGTCCTCGATAGTTGATGCTCAGCAAGAACCACGGGAAGGTCTGGAGCAGATCTCGCTAGGAAAGGAGAGGGCTAGGATTTGTTAATGAGGGATAGAACGTTATACAGTACAATACAAAAGAAATACAATACAGGTACCTACAATCTAACTACAATACAGAATACACTACAGATACAGATACAATTTAGATACAAAACAAATGCAAAGTTAGTACCCAATTCATCACCGGAAGAAATTGCACCAAAAATTGAGAATGTTGCAAAATGAAAACCCAAGCAAGCACACCGATGGAACTCGGAACGAAATCTATTGGTCGCAGTGCTCGTTCGCCCAAGGCAGGAATGCAGCCGCATAAATCCAAGGCCGACTGACCTCATCCTTATAGGATGATGCGACCCAGCGTCTAAGGGCCAACAGAACCCCCCCAGACCAAGAGCTCCTGACGACATGGAGAATTCAGACCTGGAACCAAAGGATGCGCTGTTGCAAAATAAAAACCCAAGCAAGCACACCGATGGAACTCGAAACGAAATCTATAGGTCGCAGCGCTCACACGCCCAAGGGAGAACGCAGCCGCATAGATACAGGGCCGACTGACCTCATCCCTTTGGAATGATGAACCTCATCCTTTTAGGATGATGACCCAGCGTCTAAGGGCCCAGAGAACCCCCCCAGGCCAAAGCGTCTGACGACATGGAGAATTCAGTCTCGGAACCAAAGAATGCACTGTTGCAAAATTAAAACCCAAGCAAATGCACCGTGAAAACAAAGCATTTGCACCACTGGAGCTAAATTGGCAAGACCCAAGTTAAGTTAGTAACACATACAATATACAGTACAAAATGGTTCAATTACAAAAGTTACAATATACAAAATTCTCCACGTTTGCCACCAAAGAGCGATGACTGTGCTCGCTCGTTGTTGTTGCCCAGCAAGAACCAAACAATACGAGGAGGTCTGGAGTGCGTCTTGCCATGAGAAAAACAATAAATTAGAAATTCGCGAACACGGGCTACTTTTAAGCGAAAACGGAGCTCCGAATGCTAAGATGTTGCTGCCACCAGACCGAAATCAAAACTAACCGAAAACCGCAATATTTGTTCAGGTGGCTCTCGTGACAGTGATGTCATCAAACATCACGATGAGATTGCAAACATTATTTTTCATATTATGACTGGAACATTGCACGTTTTTAATATGTTCACGTTTGTAGGAAAACGGCTTTAATTATATTAATTAATACTTATCATATTTAAACAGTATACTAAAAATTAAAACTACAACCGTATTTACTCCGTTTTTGGGAATTTTTGGAAAAATGCACACTTTGTTTCGTGTTCACAGAGCTAATGCAGAACATTTTCATTAATATTTATTATCAATGAATTAGAAATTCGCGAAAACGTGGTAGTTTTACGCCAGAACGGGGCTCCGAATGCTCCGACGTTGCTGCCACCAGATCGAAATCAAAACTGAACACAACGGACCGAAGCCGTGCCTTTGCTCAAGTGGTCACGTGACAGTGACGTCATGGTGTGTCACCATGAGATTACTAAAATTATTTTTCATACTTTGCCCGGAAAATTGCAATTCAACAATGTTTAAACAAATTGAATTGTTTAAATATTATTTAATTGTGTCATGATAGTTTCTTAGCAGTGTTTGCACGAGTTGATTTCATTAATAATTGTAAATCTGTCATTTATCACCATGTGTTATTATACACAACGAATAATTTTAAAAATAAATAAATAAATAAATAAATTCGCCACTTAGTTGCGAAATTGTTTCCTTACTTTCCTTATTCGGAACAGACGTCTTCACGTGGTGAACGTTCAACTCAGACTGCCCAAAAGTGGCCGCCGACCTGTATATATACCGGTTGGCTGACGCAACAAGACGTTCGCGAATGTTCGGGAAGCTATTCCTTTGTCTGAATACGTCGTGACGTCACGATTTGCGACGTCACAATATGAATCTTTAATTTATCAATGTATTATTAGCAACTGAAATGTTTATATAAATCTTTTTAAACATTGTTTGTTTATATTTGTTAATTTACAATGTACAGGCTAAAAAAATTGTTAAATACTGGTTGTCTGACACAACAACACGTTCGGGAATGTTCGAGAAGCTATTCCTTTGTTTGAATATGTCGTGACGTCACGATTCCCGACGTCACAATTTAAATCTTTAATTTATCAATGTATTATTGGCAACTGAAATGTTTATATAAATCTTTTTAAACATTGTTTGTTTATATTTGTTAATTTACAATGTACAGGCTAAAAAATTGGTTGAATACCCGTTGGCTGACGCAACAACACGTTCGCGAATGTTCGAGAAGCTATTCCTTTGTTTGAATACGTCGTGACGTCACGATTCGCCACGTCACAATATGAATTTTTGATTTATCAATGTATTATTAGCAACTAAAATGTTTATATAAATCTTTTTAGACATTGTTTGTTTATATTTGTTAATTTACAATGTACAGGCTAAAAAATTGGTTAAATACCGGTTGGCTGACGCAACAAGACGTTCGCGAATGTTCGGGAAGCTATTCCTTTGTCTGAATACGTCGTGACGTCACGATTCGCGACGTCACAATATGAATCTTTAATTTATCAATATATTAATAACAACTAAAATGTTTATATACATCTTTTTAGGCATTGTTTGTTTATATTTGTTAATTTACAATGTACAGGCTAAAAAAATTGTTAAATACTGGTTGGCTGACGCAACAACACGTTCGGGAATGTTCGAGAAGCTATTCCTTTGTTTGAATATGTCGTGACGTCACGATTCCCGACGTCACAATTTAAATCTTTAATTTATCAATGTATTATTGGCAACTAAAATATTCATAGAAATCTTTTTCTAGACATTGTTTATATTTGTCAATTTACAATGTATAGGCTAAAAAATTGGTCGAAGGCTATTTCGACAGAACTTCCCTCGCTTCTGAAATACAGCCCAACAAATACTGCTTTTCTGAAAAATTATACCCATAAAATTTGATTTTAAAAAAGCCTAATTTTGACAAATTACGCTAATAAAATAGATTCTAATAAAATAGAGGGTGGGCGGGCGGGGTTACTGTCTGTAAATAAAAGATTGTAGAAAAAAGTTAAACTTAACCCCGCCCACCGTGTTCTTTCATTTTTACTTCCCGAGCGTAAGCAAAGGAAGTATTGTAATCGAGTCCGTCGGCCGACTCTCTACTTTTACGTTTTCTCGATCTTTCATGAC